ACCACGCGCTGTGTTTGCTCTTGAATTGAAATGTACTCAACAGATTGTTCTCCCCCCACCCCCTAAGTAATGCCCTTCGGGGCCTTTAGCTTTAGGGTATCTGAATAAAAAAAGCGCTCCACGTGTACACATCGTCTTCATCTTTGGTGACCACCACCCCTGTTCTTGTCTATGTCTCAAGTAGCAATATATAAAGGTGATTACAGTACCAAAGGAGGCCAAAACGACCGGAAGTGCAATAGTTCGTATAATTCAGCTGAAAGCTACATCTGGTTGGGGCGACACCACTTCACGATTTAAAACATTCCACTGATCCTATGTCATGACTTAAACTCTTCGATAAGCAAGACTGCCTGTAAAAAGGGAGTTCTTTCTCGGAATCAGCAAATATGCTTCCACAAAATTGGGCTTACACACATGGCGTTGCTCGAAGGCCATGCTTTTTTTCCGAAGCGAATAAAGTACGGCACAACACAGACGATCTTCTAGCTTTGCAAAGAACGCTGGTGGCGTTAGAAAAAGTAATGGGGCAAAAAACCATGCCATTCAATCACATCATTTTTTGTAAAGGCGACCACTTTGTGAAGGAAAGAAGCCTCTCATTCTAAAGCAACACTTTGTCGAGGCTTTTTAAATTTGTGCAGAATAGTAAGCAAGTGTGAATAATTTGTCTTTTCTTTTTGATGAAAAGTTGAAATCAGAATTACACTTTCTTTATTATTTCGAGAAACTGAAGTCATTGCAATTCAGTATTGAGAAGCAGGTCCTAGAGTCACAGACCGAATTGGCACCACCTAATGAGCGTAATATTTGAAGTTTATTGAAAAGGTACAACAAAGTGTATTTTAAGTTTGAGAGATTGAAAATACTGCTACTTGAATAGCACACCATATACTCGATTCTAGTGTACACGCGTATATAAACACATTTTTTTTTGCTTGCGTTAGTCCTCAGTAAAACAGTGTTGTGGAAAATGCACTGTTGCCACTCTCAGTTGTAGCAGTCGTGGGCTAACTTGAACAATCCAGCTAGGTAAGTCAAAGTGGTCCTATTGTTCTCACAAAGCGTTCAAACTCGTCCGGGGAAGACGAGCATAGATGGCGCACAAAATTCAAAGAAAAAATGGTCACGACGCAAAAATATGGTGCCTAAATGTTAGCTGCCTGTACTGGTCTGAAACAATTTCAAGGTACTAGTAAACCAAGGAAATATAGTTGCTGTTGTAATAAACTAATCAATCAAAGAAGGTGCTTTGTCCTGATCCGCTCTATGAAAAACATTGTTTGGCACCGTACAGTTATATTCACCCTTGTCTATTGTATGTCAACCGAGGAAACAGAGAATACGAACATTGCCATAATGTGATGGAGGCTTTAAACCTTGCTTTGAAGTGCATGAGCGCTACCTTTGTGAATAAATCCTGTTATTGCTTCAGGTTTTGTGATAGCTCACCGAAATACGAATGGCAATACTGACATCGGCAAAAATATACGTATGAGGCAGCAATTTTACTGTGCAACACTTGAGCGTCAAAGGAGCATTCCTCGTCATAAGCGAATCTAATGATGGGATTCAATGCAATAGATCGAACTGATTGCAATTTGCATTGCCAATTTCTCCTTCTTTTTGGTATTATCAGCCTATAACCTACACAATAGCACTTCAAATATCAGCCGGATTACTGTCATTGCTGCACCCACGGAATAAAAATGTGCGGATCTAAATGATTGCAAAACAGGTAAACCACAAGTTTTATGTAACTGATAGCGTATATGGCTGTACTTGTGATAGAACTACAACAAATTACACATAATAAAAAAATGCTGAATGGTTGCCTGCTTTATCTTGCAGCTGATAAAGGGCGTAAGAAGCAAAAGTAGTCAGTGCTGCTGCAAGGGATGGAGAGGGAGACTCAAACTCATGTTATACACCCGCATATGTGCTTCAATTCTCGGGTGCCCATTTACTTAAAAAATAAACATTTTTGTGTGAAGCAAAGACATACTTTCATACGCACGAACTCAATTTTATATGTACTAACTGAACTGTTTTTAATTACACTGATTTTATTTTTTCTCTGATTTCTCGTTTCTGTCGTTGTAGCCTTTTTTTGTTTAAAGTTCTTTCTTCAGCGGAAATGTCTAAAGTATTGCAGCTGATAACCTTTTAAGGAGAGCATCGCATTTCTCAAGGCACGGTACAAAGAGATTAATTTTTGCGAATCTTCACATCAGAGCTCGTTCAACGGAACAACTTTCATGCACGAAGATGTATCATTAGTACTGAGTAATGCGAGGAAAGAACTAGCAATAGCGAACAATTTAAGCTCGGTGCAGTTTATAGGGCAAGCACTTTGAGTCTGATCTTCACGGAACTTCTGTGGCAACGAAAGGTAAGATACTGCGAAGAGTTGAAATACGCTTGGTATATTCCCGCGTAATTTGTTTATATTGCAGCTCATAATAATGTATAGTTCTTCAACGCAATTTAAAAGAACAATACAGAGCATAGCCTTTAACAAGCAACAGAGCCTGATTAGAGTGATGCCTTGTTGAAGAAAACTAGGTAAAACGTGGTGGTAGAATAAATGTCGGAATCAAACACCCCAACGATGAAGTGAAGCAAAGACACACCAAACCACCATTTTAAATTTTTTTTCTGCGTAAAAAGGCTTGACTAAGAAGTTTCTTTAAAGAGTACAAAATTACTCACCATGGGCGACAGTCTGGGTGAGCTTCATAACTACAAGGGCAGACATCGGCCGCGTAAGTCGATGAAGGTCTACTTCCTCGATGTGGGTGCCTGGAAATGCCTGCAAACAGGAAACACTAGCTGGAGAGATTCTGCGGGGCGCTTCTGCCAACGTGTGCGCATTTAAGAAAATACGTAAGTGCATGTGCCCGCAAGGTCTTGTTTGCAACGGCAAGAACAATGGCGTCACGAAACAAGCATGTCTATTTAATGATAGTAATCATCTCTGGAGTTGTACATCCTAAAAACCTGAGGTGATTATGAGTGACGTGACAGTGGAGGGCTCTGTTTGTTACTACCTGGTGTTATACAACCTGCAATGACATCGCACAGTACACGGGCTTCTACCATTTCACCTTTATTGAAATACGACCACCATTTCCGGGATCGAACCCGTGGCCTCGGGTTCAGCAGCCGAACACCATAACCACCACCATGGCCGACCAGAATGTTTATCAAGCGAGTGTGTCAGCGATCAGGACTTCAACGTATGCATGCGGGAGCGTCCACTGATGAGCAACGAGCCGTTACGAGCCGCATGCTTTTACGAATGCCTCTTGGTAAGCGACCACCCCGTTGTCTACATAGGTTGTGTTGATGGGACATTCCACGTGGAAGTGTGAAAGCTTGTGGTCCTAGCTACAATTGAAGCTGAACATGACACAACTTATTTTGAAATAAGCAAGAAAATTTTGTTGCAAGAGAAAGAGATTGAAATGAAAGCAAAGATGACTGGCAGAAAAGCCAACCAAGCACCTGGGATGTTAGTGGTGTTGTGGTTTGCGAGGTGAAAAAAAAATTGAAAAGCCGTAAGAAATATAAATGGCCACAGTCTAGGCCCGAAGAACAAGATTGCATGCTAAACAGTCTAACGAAACTTTGAAACTTTGAGACTGCGTACAATGCTTGAAGTCTATACACTATAGGCACCAAATTATACGCGAATAACTCCGATGATGAGAAATTGTATAGTGTGTGCCGTTCAGTTAGCACCATTTACGTGAGCGCAAGACTCATATTTGACAGCACCGCACATGTCCGCCGTGATGATGACTGGACAGCACGCGCTATTCTAACGCAATGCTTGCCACTTCTCGAGTGCCATTTTACGCCGATAGTACATATACGCGAAATATTTCATAATGTATCAGCTACAAAGTCACAGCCTCAGTGGTGTACCTGTTACGGTCTTTAAGAAAACTCGTGTGCAGGCAAACTGCCTGGCGTAAAGTCCAATCGAGTGAGTAGAGAATATTGTAGAGAAAAGATGTTTAGTTATCCATAATGGGGAGGTGGAGGTATATTTCACACGTTTCAAGAAATGGGTACGGGATTCACTTGATTATTGTAGAGGATAGACGAAAACGTTCGAAATCGACAGAAAATGAATGTGTCAGGCGCACTGCAAAAAAAAAAAAACACTTCAGAAAAGCTATACACACACTTTATTAGAAGTCCATCGTTTTTTCTTAGTGCATGACTTTGCGTACTATCATTACAGCGCAGAGCTAAAAAAATTGCGATCTACCAATGTCTTGGAAGAAGGCCCCTGAGGTTTTTACCACATCATCATGCTTTACAAAGGACGGTTTAAAAACAGAGCTAGTTTTTTGTTGTACTCATAGAACCTAAATAGTGGATACCTTACACAATACAAATACGTGAAATTTCAGTACACTTGAAGTAGCCTGATCTGTTTGTGTCTCAGAACCATGCTGAGTTAACTTTATTCTTCCTCAATAAGAAACACCCAGTGGTGGAAACATTTCTATAACTGTGTCCATCTAAACAACGTGCTATTACGCCACCTTATACCATTCTGTCTTCATAGTTCAGGCCATATATGCGATAGGTCTCATTGTTCCCAAAAACATTAGGCTGTCTTGCAAAATAAACAATAACACAAAAAACTTTTCAAACTGACAGTCTCGCATGCCATCGAGGCAGCACATTTTTTGGTCCTGCCTTATTCGATGGGGTTAATGACGAAACAGTGATGGCGCATCACTTCCTTTTACCGCTTTTATGAATATTTAAGTACAGAAGAGTTAAGGCTTTCAAAACTCGTCCTTATTTTGGTCTGCATGTTTAGCTTGCACATGTGTGCCTACAACAGCTGCCTAAGCCATGGGGTTTAAAATAATGCTCCCGTCAAGAGAACAATGCTCATACTCATCAGTACAACACAAGATCAATACTTACAGTCCAATTGTTTTTAGCGGATATAGTACACAGGGACATTCAAAATATTCAGGCTGCATTACAAGGAACAAGATGCAATGCACGACAGTTCTTACGGCCGCCATATTATGTACAGTGGCAAGCGGTCAAGAATATGGTAAGGAAATATAAACTTCTCACATATTCAGATCACTCCAAAACGCAAGCAAGTTTTGTTTTAGTTACAAAATTTCGTTTGCTACATCTCGAAAATCAACAAAAAATTCGCTAGTGACGATAAATTAGAGCCATTATTTTAGTATAAAGATACTTGCACTGAACTGAAGATATTTGCACTGAGCAGGAGGTGCGCATTTCAGCCGGTGAAGGCATTGTTGAGAAGCTCATAAACGTGAGGGTAATCTTGTGGTTGCCACCCCTAAATGGAGGCAACGTGTAAAGCAGAAAGAGCTCAGTGTTTATATTTCGGCCCATTCGGAGTTGCCTAATTCATTCTAGGGGCACTAAGTACGTCAAGCATCATATCTGTTGTAGTCATGAGCGGTAAAGTACATGATTCACTGTTTTTTTTTGTTATAAGGGTCACTGTAGTTTAGGGTTCGAGAAATTTTGGATACCCCGTGTTCTTTACGGATCACCAAATCTAGGTACATGAATTTATAGCATTAAATCTCTATTGAAATGTCGTCGCGATTTGATCGGGTGGCCTTCTCGTCTGCAGTCGAACACTCAGCGGGTCATTGACAGTGAAGCTCCATGTAGGTATTGCCCGAAGGCTGGTCCTGATTGTACAACATAATGTATTGCCAAGTGTGAAGCTCGCTTTCGTCTTCAAGTGTTGCAGAGACCGTAAAATACTACCGTACTGGACTTTCTCGTTCAATTCGTGCAGCTGGATCTGCACAGTGCGGCTGTCTCGAAGTACCGGCTACCAGCACTAGACGGAGAGACAAATTTTGCAGACCCCACCTGACAGACCCAGCCGAACGACGCAGATACCGCAGTTGTGTCTGCAGGCTAGGACTTGTACGGAATTCTTGGGGCGACTGCATCACCAGACAAGAATGTACGAGCTGCAAGTGCTTCCCCGACAGAGACTTCAACGTATGTGGCCGGGAGTGCCCATTGGTGTGCAACGAGCCTATGAGCAGATCATGCTCAAAATCATGCGCATTTGGGTGCGACTGCGTGTCTGGTTTTGTTCGGTGAGTTGTATGGCTTTTGAGCAAGTGGCATTTTTTAGACACCTGTTAATGTTGCCGCCTTTTACTGTAAATACACGGCGGTAATTCGCGCAAATTGATAGAAGTATAATCAGTTCAAGAAAATGCAAGCAATGATCGGTTTTCACGAGAGGAAGAAAGCAGAGAAGATATAAGTTTTGGTGCAATTTGATTTTGTAGAGTACTTGCAAGAAATATGTTTAATTTTCGCAGCCGTTCCGTTTTGTTAACTTTATTGCATATGAACCGTTAAATTTATTGCATATTTAACGCGCCTGCGTTAAAAAGTACGCTTGGTAGAAATGCTGGTGTGCTGTCGGTGACCTTGGTTTTGAGCAAAAGATCACCTTATTGTCCATGTGAGAAAAATAAAGAAAGATGAAAACAAAGTAAACAATAAAAATGGTGACCCGGGTGACGACGAAACCCAGGCCGTCTGCGTGGTAATAAGGTGTTTTACCACAGTGCCACAAAACTGCTCGAACCAGCTTGAAGAAAAGAAGAAAAAAGACTATATGTGTGTCATGTAGTCGAAGGATACTCGTTAACGTATGTAATATTCTATGACAGAAATGTAGAATCAAGTCAGTTCCTAAACATGTGAATTGTGCGATGGTTTGGTGTCCTAAAGGCCCATCCGTTACAAAGCACCCGGAAAACCTAATCATAATCAGATCCAATAGCACCAACAAAATGACCAGCTGCGTCGGTTCGCAAGTTGCCCTACGAACGCACAGTGGGCCCTTAGCCAATTCGCAAAAGATATAATTACGGTGAAGTAGGCACTTGGAAACTGAACTTACAGAAGGCACTATACGATAGTTTGAGACGACCCATGTTACGTGCCAGTTGCTCTTTTCCTTATGGCACGACTGAGACATGCACCGAAAAGGAAAACAGGCTAGCAGTTCAGAAGGCTATGAGCCCAAGGCCCCAATACGCTATCGCGATCTACTATTGAAGACAATGCTGGAGCGTCATACATGTTTTTTTGGTCTGTGGTACAGTACATTACATAAACTTTCTACTGCAGTCCATAAAAAACACTTACACACCTATAGTTCTAACCAAGAAACCACTGATTTGTCATTAAATGTGAAGATCTTTAGGGGGGGGGGATAAACAACAAGAGGGAAGGCAGGGAGGTTAACCAGGCACATGCCCGGTTTGCTACCCTACGCTGGGGGAATAGGAAACACTAATGAATTGCTTATCCAAATTTTAGCCTTTGGTGGGACATAGGACATAAAACGAAACATGCTTACTCGGCAGGGAAGTATTCCAGGTTAGTATAACTTACTTCACGCCTTTATTTTTTGCGAAAGCCGTTATTGGCACAAAAAAAGCAGCCCAGAGGAACCCCTTGCATCAGCTTACCAGTTCGTTGCTTTGCCCGGAGCTCCTGGTCAGTGAATGTCTGTAGAAATACATCACACAATGAAAGCGATCAGACATTTGAAGGTCTTTATTTGTTCGCCCTAGTCTGTACGCGCTTTTTCCCTTGTGTTATTATGGCCACTCTTTGAGATACTTAATGCAGCTCACATATTGTTGCGTGTACAACCAGCCCAGTGAACGTTATGCAGTTATATTCATCCCTGAAAAGCACTGGAGTCAACCAGGGCGACAAATATCACCGGTGATGGCAAACCGGACGCACGTCCGGTTACTTCCCAGACTTTAATTTCTTCTTCTCCTCCTCCTCCAGCTGTGTGACATACGGCTCTGGATCTTGAAGTCCGTGTATATAAGAAGGGACACAGAGAAAATATCTTAGGTCTTCAGTAGCTTAGCAGCATATGTCAGAGCGCGAAGAAAAAATCCTCGTTTCACCGCAACACAAGTGAAGAAATTAATGCGCCGGCAGAAAAAAAAAAGTTGTTACAAGAAACGAGGTCATAAGCTTACCCTTTTGAATCTGAGCTCGCGTAGTTTTACAAAACGCTGGTGTGAGAGAATACCTCTGCTGCCTGGAAAGATGGCGTTTTGGCAGTATATCTTCGCACAAAATTAAAAGCAGCACTGGTATACGAGCCGTGTGCTCATACCTGCTGAGATAATGCGTGCGCCAGTGATGATGTCCACGCTCGCATGAATGAATTTCAGGGTGGCTGCCCGAATCGCATCTCCCACCCCTCCCGCGTTGCTTCCTGTTCCTTCAAGACGGGCGGGGCGTCTCCTTCATGCTGAAGTAGAAATTACAGACAGGCTTTGCATGCGGGGCAGTGTTATTGACGCACCATTCAAGCAACGGAGATGGTTTGATCATTTCATTTCTGCTGCATCAGGGTTCGTAGATCACGAGCGCGTGCTTTTACACATGGTTAGAATACGCCATACGACCTGGGGAAATGCTACCGATTTAAACTTTACACGAGAAATGGTAGCAATGACGACGGTGACACTGGCGATGAAAGCCTGTCGAGAGTGCCGATATATTTATATATCAATAGGAAGCAATAATTGCGTGCCGTGAAAATAACAATAATAACTAGAAAATAAAATTCTGCAAACACACCTTCCTCATGACGTCACAGAAAGGTTATCTGCGCTGGGTAACCGAAGATGGCAGCCGCCATGACCTATATCGCATTTGTGAGGGCCATTGCGAGGGAGGACAGAAACTCCTTTGCTCCACACGTTTTATATAAATTTTTTTGCTCCTTCCGCATGATTCTCTTCGGCAGCTGCACCAAGGGGGAACACAAAGAATTTCAGGGCACCCCAGTGCTAACCAGAACTCACTCTCTTTATTTACTACGCGTGTTCGAGCAGCATTATTACCATGTCAATTACTATACACTCAAAGCATGGAAACATTTCTGGGACAATGAGCCTATGTTGGGCAGCTGTCTCAACAAAATAAATTGGTCTTCTTGCGGCAAGGCAAGTGTGAGGGTAATAATATCGCTGCAGTCTTTAAAACAGGCGCTGCTTCCATTCTCAATTCATCCACAACATCTGAACAGGTAGTAAAATCATCATGAACAAGCAGGCGTTCTCTACGACCTCTTCGTCGTGTTCTTGAAAATGGGTCACGCTCATACAACACGTGCACCAATTTGTCTATGGTGCAATGCAACAACTATTAATTGTGAGAGAATGAGTATAAAGAAAGAGGAAGAAACAGAGAAAGATGTAGAGAGAAATTATTATATATTAAAAAAGGAGCTATATCTCTCACAAAAATTATTGTGCTGAGAGGACTTGAACACCCGTACCTCCGATCTGGAAGCAAACATCGTATCTAGTCATTCATCCATAATATCTAAAGTTCTAAAATATAATACCAAAATGTGATTACGAGGAACGCCATGATGAAGGGCTACGAAAGTTTCGACCGTCCGGTGTTCTTTAACGTGAACCTATATAACGCAATACATGGGCCTCAGGCATTTCGCCTCTATCAAAATGCGCCAGCGGCTGCCGGTCAAACCCATGACCTTTGGGTCAGCAGTGGAGGAGACTGTTCCTTTGAGGCAGACCACTCACCTATTCATGCGCGCTAGCGGAGCCTAGCATAGCCTCGCGTAACGTAGTAGGGCAAGGGGGAGGGAAAACAAAGTCGGAACGAGCAGTGGGTAGAATTGGGGCAGAAAGTAAAGCAGTGTATAGATAGAATGAGAAAACAGAAATGGAGAGAGAAAAGGGTAGAAAAAACAAGCGCGAGAGAAAGAGTGAAATAGTCGGGAGAAAACGAAAGAGAGAAAAAAAGAAAAAGGAAAATACAATGCGCAAGAAAATGAAATTGCTACAGGTAGAGGAACAAATAGGGAGAAAGACAAAAAGAACACCGAAAAGAGAAGAAGAAAGAGAAGAAGAATTAGGGGAACGCTAAAACAAAACAAACCAGGCCATTCTTCAGGCTTGGCACCAACAGTATTACGAAGCAGCCTTAATTCCTTTTTGTTTGTTTTTTTTCACCACCAGCCATAAAGTGATTCTGTGTAGAAGTATGCTATAAAAGCGGTATTGCTTATGTGATTTTATGATTGCGATTTGGAAGCAAAACCCCATCATCATTATAAACAGCCATCCCAAGCTGTGTTCCTCCTCTTATTTTGTTTCTGCGGAGCCCTCTTAACACGTCCAGTGATTTGTTCGGTGTGGATGCTGTAGACTAGCAGGCTAGAGCATGCTTTCACTCAGGCCGACCTGTTTGACTTTCTGTAAACGAACTATGCTCTCTTTGTTGCTGCTCGGAGTTAGATGAAATAACTCGATGGGTGAAAGAACAAGTGCAGGGAGAGAGAGAAGCAAAACAAGAAATTATAAGCAAAATAAAGTTTACGAGGTGGGATTTGAATGGGCGTGCTTGTGATCTGAAGTGGAGCTACGGAAGCATTCGGTGATTCGGAATTAGGCTCTTTTTGCTTAAAATTTACAGGAAGTATAGGACGAAATAGACACGGACAAGTGTTTCTTCCTTTGTTCGAGAAATTTGCTACCAAAACTAGTTGATTTTGGAGTACCAACCAGCTCCAACCTGCATCTTCTGTGCTATTCAAGCAGGCTATAAAGTATAACTCATCCTTACGCGATGTGGTCTACCACTATGGTGGGAAAGGGAAATAGAATAGAGCAGGAGGGAGAGTAGGTAAAGGAGGGCGAGAGGGAATAAAATATAGAATAGAAAGAAAGACAAACAGAACAACAAAGAGGAAGAAAGAGACAATAACGTAGTAAATAAAGAAATACTGACAGCCGTAGTGAATCGATCATCGATCAATAACTAATGACTCTACTCAGGTTGCTCACGAATGACTCGACATCTATGATGAAGCACAGTGTAAGCCAATTTAGATGTAATGAATGGTTAATCAACGTTGTACGAAGAACAATTGCATTTCTAAAAAGTATTTAGTATGACTCAGTTAACATTGACAATAGAAAGTACAAGGCAACTCGACAGCTAGTAACTACGCTTTCCCCATATGCCCCACAGCCAGAGTGCACGAAAGTTCCCGCCGCAGCCGTCCAATCTACTATGTAACCCTTGGAAGGACAGAGGTGATGTGGGTGCCTGGCTGCGCGAGCCCTCTGGTTAGCTACTCTCTAATTTTCGAAGTCCACCACACAGCTGCGTAGACAGAGTTAAAGTCACTATGCCAGTTAAGGTATAAACAAATGGCGCACTCGCGAGGAAGCGAAGAACGAGCAGAAATAATAATGTTCACCTAGTTCGCTTTTCCTTCAAGCTTGGCACCACTAGCGCAAAGCTGTCTTAAGTTTTTTTTTTTTCGACTTAGACCTGTGCACGCAGTAAATATTTGAGTTTCAAGAAAGGCTTTCTGAGCTTGCTTTTTTCACCATATGTTGACTTTCAGATTATTTACTCTCCAAAGTCTCTTCTCTTCTACTTCACAACCTTACGACATACTTTGTGGCGCTAATGTAATATTTAATCTTCTTCTCCACAGGAGCTCCGGACATAGGGGTCGCTGTGTCAAGGCAACGAAGTGCGGCTTCTCATGCCCGCAGTTTTCAACCTTCCAGTTTTGTAGTTCCACCTGTAGGCCCAAGTGTGGCAGACGTCCAAGAAGGTCTTGCGTCACACGTTGTACAAGGGGTGACTGTGTCTGTAATCAGGGTTACGCCGAAGTTGAGCACAATGGCGAGACTATCTGCGTGCCACAAGGGCAGTGCTCCCAATATGTGCAGTTGGCGCCACCGATGACCCCTGGGGGTCACGGAAACATGACCTCTGGTGGAGCTGTATTTGTGCCGGGTACACCAACAATGCCAGTGAACTCAGGAGTTATTACGGGAGGATCTGGTGGCATACCAGTACCAGGTTCAGTTGGTATTAATGGTAACGTAGGTAGTGGAGTATTTGTTCCGGCAGCACCGTCTACACCAGTAATCCCAGGAGTTGTTACGGGAGGCGCTTCTGGCCCACCGCTACCAGGTTCAGTTGGCAATAATGGTTTTCTAAGTGCTGGAGGTAGCTCTGGCGGAATAGTATCGATCCCGGGAGCACCATCTACTCCAGTAAACACAGGATTTGTTATGGGAGGTGCTGCTGGTACACCAGTACCAGGTTCAGTTGGCAATAATGGAGCGTCACCAACCTCGAATGTGCCTAGTGGAGGAACAGGCAGTGTAGGCCCATCTGCAGGAGGAGGATATCAACCGGGATTATTTGGCAGTGGCGGCTTATCACATACTTTAGGCGGTGCTGGCGTGGGTACATATTCACCCGGAGGAGTAGCTAGTCGACTACCGGGATCAATAGACGCTCAAGGTCAACCATCACGTGGTACTAGTGGAGTTGGCACCGTTGGCGGGGGTATATCTGTGGGCAACAAAAGACCTAACATCGCTATTGAATCTGGTGAGAACACTGGTGTTGATGCTGCGGGCATTCCTATAGCTGAAGGGGAAATTCGACCAGGAGGTGGTGCGACAGCTGCTGGAAGGATTCCGCCAAACGAGCAAAATGGGAATTCAGGAACAGGCGTGGTTGTCATCGGGCTACTCCCCGGTAAGATACCGCCGCAACATATTGCAAATACTGGTGTAAATAATGTGGGAATAAGTGGAGGGAATATTGGTCATGGCGGGGTTGACTCATTGAGGCCTACTACACCCGGAATAAATATCGAAAAAACACGCCCGTCTGGAACAGTAACGTCAGCGTCAGGTAGTCTATCGGTAGGCACAACAGGTATACCCATAATAAATATCCCTGCATCTGGAAATCCGAGCAAGCCTGTTATAGCCAGCCCCTCCCCGCCACCTAATCTGACCAGTCCTGTCTACTCAGGCACCACCGTATCTGTTGTAACTCCTGCGGGAACAGTTAGTGTGAGCAAAGTACCCTCAGTCGCCTCAGTAGAAGCAGGTACAGTAAGTAATGGCTTGAATGGCAATGTAGCAGTTTCCGCGGCCATTCCAAGTGCGAATTCGGCGACAACTGGAAGTACGTTACAGCCTGTGGGGACAACTACACTGACTGGGACCTCACTTGGTAATAATGTACTTGGGGTAATAGGCAATGGTAAACCAAACGCGCCTTCACTGGCACCTGCAGGACCAAGTGGCACTATTATTATTGCACTCCCCGCAGGAACTCCCAGCTTAACCAGCCTCACAGGTGTGAGCCCACAATCATCAGGTATGGGTTCACCTGGTGTTAACTCAGGTATTCCCTCTGGTACAAGTAGCGCAGTGTCTACTGGAATAGCAGCAACTGGAGGAATCACAAATGGTATGCCAATCGTTGGAGTACCTACAACAGGTATGGTCACGGGGACTTCGGTAGGCGATAAAACAGCTTCAATGTCTTCTGTGGGGACAACGTTGGGGACTATATCTGGAGGCGTAAATGGAGCAAATAGTTTTGGCCCGAATACGCGTAGCGGAGCCTCTATTACTACTCAGCCAGCTGCCCTTACCTTGCCTGTATCTGCGGGTATTGCGACAGCTGGTACTGCAGCAGTCATAGGTGGTGCGTTGGGCGGACCTGCAGCCATTCCCATGACAGTTGCCACAATGCGTGCTACTGGAACCATGGCTAATAATAGCGCAGCTCAGTAATGCTACAAGATGCGGTTCCCATAAACATTCCCATTTAGTACACGGTAGAACTACCGTTGCAGGTGTGTAGGCCTCATGCAGTTTCTTCTAATAAGTTTTACTTTACTTCCTGTTATAATAATTCCGTATTCCATAGCGACTTTCATCATTTCACTTCAATACGACTAATAAAGAAGCATTCACGGGAAAGCACGAGATATTAAAAGGAGAAAGTTCTCTTTAGCTGCCTGATCCGCTATTTGGTGTTGTCAACCTCGATGTGGTCCATTAAAATTAACTTTGTCTTATTTATTGTTTCATACTTGCATGCAGAGTATTCAGGATGGGTTGATGAGCAAGCATATAAGTTTCAATAAAGTGACTGAAATGACGTGTATTTTACTGTATTCACTCTTTGTCTGCTAGTTTTGCTGTTCATAAAATGTGTTCATTCACGAATGAAATCGCATTGAATAACTATTCTTGGTCTAAAAAGAATTTCAGAATTGGGAAATAAGCTTCCTTAAGGAACTTTACTGCTTCAGGAGAAATATAAATGATGAGCGACCCAGTAGTGGACATAGCGATGACCTTAAAAGTCATGAGTATATTATGAGGCCTTCTTGACGCCAGAAAAAAATTACACTACTACCTAATGGATCATTCAAGTGCTTCTTATGGTTTACGATACACTCGCCTAAGCAAACGAACATGTTGGCACACACAGAAAGACACAAACATACATGCTCAACAGTAGAAGGTGCGACTGTCCAGCTGGCACCAGGCCCAGCAACAAGCACTGATCACCCAGATTGAATAAGCAGCAGAGAACAGTGGAGCTCTTGAGTGAGACTCCGCCGATAACAATCAATAATATATATATATACAATCTATCTATCTATCTATCTATCTATCTATCTATCTATCTATCTATCTATCTATCTATCTATCTATCTATCTATCTATCTATCTATCTATCTATCTATCTATCTATCTATCTATCTATCTATCTATCTATCTATCTACAATTTTTGAGAACGTTACTACCTTACTGTCCACTGCAAAAACAGAAAAGTTCGAGTAGCAAACATGGACTTTCGTTAAGGTCATCATGCCATTTTTTATTGTTTTACATACGGTTTGCCTTTTAACTAAGCCACCCCATCAAGCGCCTTTCTGTCACTCTATCACCTCTCCAGCTGTCCACCGGAAATCGCGCACCAACATTTTTTCTTATCTTTTCATTCTTCGTCGGTGCAATCACGGGAACACGTAGAAACAGCACTACCAGAAAAAATGAAGTATTTGAAAAATATTTCTGCCACACAATTATGACCGTCATCTACATCACGAGCTCTAGTTAGGTTATCATGGCGGTCCTGGCAGTTGCTATATAGAGAGGAACGTAGCGCTTGTGGTCAGCGTGACATTGCATTCTTGATAGGATTGCGGTGAGGGCCGGGTACAGGGCAGGCTGTCATTCGGGAGATAATATCAAGGAGGCTTGGCTGGTTGGGAGACCAGTCAAGGTGAGGTGTGTGCTGGTTTGTGGAGCTCACTGGCATTCATTTTGGTGGCATGAAAAAGTAAATATGCATACCAGTAGAGGCACATAAACAAACAATCATTTACTGCAAGGCAATGTAAAAAAATCCAAAGACCGTTGCACAGGCGCACACGCGCAGCAGCTCATTCCGGGGAACTCCCTTTTTTACGTACTTTCCCCGTCACCGCCTTGCATGTGCGAGATATGCATTCAAATAAACAACGTCCTTCTGTGACTGAGGAACTGCAAGACCACTGACGCAGATGCTTTGATCTCCGCTTGTAGGAATCGCCTCTATAGTTTCTAGTGCCACCGGGTCCTCATTTTTTTGAAGCACCTGTGCAGCGGTAAATTCTGGAGCCCCAACACAATATAGGCAATAGTTGTATGATGAGACTTAGCCTGTTGGGAGAGAATATAAATGAGTAAAGCGTCGAAATGAAAGCGAACGTTGATACTTTTTATATAATTTATAGATTTTATTTATATGTGGGATATAACGTCCCAAAACCACAATATGATTATGAGAAACGCCGTATAGTTGTGGACTCCGGAAATTTTGACCACCTGGGGTTCTTTAATGTGCACACGAATCTGAGTACATGGGCCTACAGCATTTCCGCCTTCATTGAAAATAGAGTCGCCGCAGCCAGGCTTCTATCTCGTGATCTGCGCGACAGACGCCGAGTACCTTAGCCACTAGACCACCACTGTTGGGCTACTTTTCATATGAAGGGCATTACAAGGTTTAGGCTAAGGTCAACACCTTGCAGTGCGTTAAGGCACTGACAGAACTTCACTTCTGTTGGAAACACACCGAATGTGATGAATACATAGTAATAATTCTTTGCAGGAGATAATGGCGGTGGTCATGGTCAAGACCCACTAATTTTTACCGCTGTCAGACACCGACATGACCCCACCGAACAAGAGCACTGTGTGAAGAAAATGTGAAATATAAAAATTAGAGGAACCTTAAGCTCTGCCTTTAAAAGTTAAATGCAATAGTGATATTCCGTCCTTAGTGGGTAGTTTAAAAACTTAGTGCATGTAAACTTTTCAAACTAACTTTGCCCCTACTACGTGGCCTTAGGAGTGCAGTAGCGTGTGTGCCTTATGAAGTTAGTGACTGGCTTTAAACTATGAAGTCATGATAATTACATGTTTTGACGCCCGATGGCAATGTACGCTTGTTCCACGCAGTATTATGACAGTATTTCATGTTGTATTGTAAAACATGTAAACAGGACGCGTGTGTTTGTAAAATTATGAAAGATACATTCACTGCATTTCCGATCAGACGAAAGTATTTTCACGGCATTCATAAGCGGAGCCATGGCTGTAAGAGCGCCCCCTTGTCTTGTTGTAGAAGCCATGTCTTAATCTTTAAGACCTCTGAAAAAGAACAACTGCGTTTTGCTGAGAGCTACAGACCGAGATCACAATCGAATGTTGATAGAAATGTTTTGCCAAGGTTTTATCAAACCGGTTAAGATTCGCGATGTCAATTTCAGTTGGTCCTCATCAGACATGTGGAATTAGAGTGCGCTCCATACAGGACATACACACGCCGTGCATACAGCTCTTCAGTTCTGCTACAGTTGTCAAAAAGCATGTTTAACCACTATTCAACCACCTAACTTCCGATGGCAGCATAATATGTGCAGTTGAACAGAATTTGAAGGTAACCACCCGAGCATCCACCAAGAACTGCAACAGCGACACGTCCACCCGCCACGGTATTGCAGTGAAGGCACTAGGCTGCTTAACCCAGGTCGCGGGATTGGATCTCGGCTGCGGTGGCTGTAATTTCGTTGGAGGTGTATGAGATGGAGGCCCATGTGCCTATTTTTAGGTGCACGTCAAAGAACCCAAAATGGTTGAAATCTTCGGTGGTCTTCACTACGGCTGCTCTCATAATCATATGGTGGTTTTAGAATGGTAAACACCAGAAATAAGTATTATTAGCACCCTGTCTCAGAATATTCTTCGAAGGAGAAGATTACTATTCTTCGTCGAAAAATAATACTCTTCGAAGGAGATGAGGAAGCTGTTTAAATAAAGCAGGGATATACAGAAGCTTCAGCACATTCTTCCTAGCAAGTTTGTAATCACCCGCTGAGATGAGAGCCCATAAAGTACAAGTACACCTAATCTCAAGGAATTGAAGGCTGAAAATAGAGAAATTGAGTATAAAGATTGTTTTTGCCAGGGGCTGATTGTTTTGATTGTTGTAATATGGAAGAGCCTATAGAAGAAAATCTTAACTTTCGCTGTCCCGAAATTTACTGCCAGAGTCCTGGGTCAGGTCGACGTTTGCGCGACAATCTTCATATCACACGTGACTGCACGAAACTATCGAATAACGGGATGAGCATCCGCTCACGAGTGAACACGCTCTGTACAGGCGCGCAGGGCGATGACTCTATAGAACTTTTCATAAACGCCTCCCTGGGAGCCGCCATAGCCCTTCTTGGGCTGTGCAAATGAGCGCGTTCCCTCGAAGATGCACTGACAACGCTGCGCCCTTAGCCTTCGTACTCCCGCGCACAGCCCATCGTGGCGGTGTTTTTTTTCCTTCGTGTGAAAAGGTGTATAGAGCGTGCCCAACGCCCGCTCTTCGCGGCATCTCACCACTGATGACGAAAACGTCATGAAGTTTCTGAGATCTGAAGCTCGCGAACAGCATATGGTGTACATAATTAGCCCGCCATTAGCAAGCTGAATAAAGTACGTTTCGTAGCGGTATTCAAAAGAAAGGCAAGAAGAGTAAGACGGGAACTCGCGATGAGAAATTCGAAAAAGAAGGATTGGTTGAGCCGACGTTCTGAAAACTTGGCAAGTCTTGTTTTTTTTTTTTTCTTTTTTTTCGTCCTGTTGTAACCCTGAAAAATACGCTGTTAATTTTAAGTCAGGGACGTATTAGTGTCACGCCGTGCTCTATGGAGCGAGAGGTCGTAGATTCGAAGCCGGCGACAGAACTGCTTCTTATTGTTTTTTTCTTCTTTTCATTCGTTAATATACTTTCTACAACATCATATCCATGACGTAAATAGGTCAGCGTAGGTGTTGTGGACCCCGGTAAAACGATCTTGTGTTAAAAATTACCAGTGCAAGTACCAAGCTATGGTTGCTGTTCATAATAGTACCGGCGCACTGAATTACCACACAAAGTGACTGATTCGACTGAGTGACAACGCGAGCCATTGGCGTGTGGGTGGGGGGCGGAAAGCAGGGAGGTCGGCAACCCCACTTTCGTCACCTAACAGGGAGTGGTAACGCAACGTACCGGCTTAAGCGAGTGGGGGGGGGGGGGGCAATATAACGAACTTTCACCTCGGCCTTTGAAGAGGAACGATTTGCCTGTTAATAACGTGAGCTTAGTGAAAGAGACACATAAAACAAATGCTAGAACCAGCCATTGCCCTGCACGTCCTTCTTCGACTCAAGTGGTGGCGTAATGAAACCTTTGACGTTGTCATCATGTAGAAACTGCTCCTTAAAGCCACACTACTAGCGTACTCATTTTTCTTGTAAAGCGCTTGCTGACCGTTGTTTATTAAAAGGGACGTACAACTAACCAGCGGTCATCTTCAGATGGCAGTGGCTTACAAAGGTGACATGCACCCTAATGTACTTTTCTGACAAGACAGGAGGAAAATACATGTGAGCTATTTGTGAGCAAAGAATGTTGACCCATCTGTCTACAGAACTCTGGCACACCTGCTTGTCATGTGTAACAAGTACGTCACTTTTATACAGCTGCTGCTCGTGCGAGAAATGGCTTGATGTTGGCCTCGTTTACGCTATCGACATGTCGCAGGTATTGGACAATAAAATGAAGTGTTCGAAATTTCTTTTTCAATGTTTGATTTTGCGTGACCAAATGTGCTCTGGCATAAAATAAAACATGCTGCTATATTTTAGGCTAATCTTGTTAAGTAGCACAATAAAAACTCACAACATCCTTTAAGCACTCATTTAACATGACAAGAAAGAGAAAGATGTTTTTTTACTCGATTATATTGATCCTAATATGCCACCCTCCAAATACTTTCAATAATTGAGGCACTTTTCCCACTGCCTCTAGAACATTCGCTCAGTCTTCACCAACTTCCTCCTGAAAAGAAAAGAGCAGACCGAAAATAAAGCACTTCACTGAATGGAGGGGTCACTGATAGCCACGTACAATTGCACCATTTTTTACCATCCAGTGTTCGCAGGTAAAGCTATTTGGATGCTTCTTCACATTGCCAAGACAACCTTATTACGTGCCTTGTAAATAAAAAAGCAACACAGCTAAACGAGTGATGCCTCTCTTCGTCTCGGAATAGCATTGCAGGTCGTTCAGGAGGTTGTTTTTTAGAATACCTTAATCGAATTACTGAGTGAAGAAAATCGAATGGTACAGTGTTTGCATATATCATATTTTATCGTGGTGTAACTGATGAATGTAGTGAGCTTAGGCGTATTATGATTGAGGTCAGGTTGGCGCTCGCACACGTGGATACAGCAGCTGTCTAAAAGAGCCAAGGCAGTTACCTTAGGCATCCATCAGCCGAACAATGAACATATTTGTCCTACAAATGTCCTATACATAGAGACGCATTGTCTTGAGCGGTTACAGCGCTCACAGAGCTCCAAACTTTTCAGGTTGCGCTAAAAGAAGAATGCAGTGTAAAGTCATTTTTGTGGCCGCCATATTTGGTGCAATTGTATGCACAATGAGTAAGTATTATTTTCTTATTTTAAAAAATACGCCATTCATCACAAAAAATATACAATAGTCTGCCTTGATGGAATGGTGTAAAAGCAGTATTTTCTTAAACTCGATCGAGCGTTACAGCCTTTCAATGCTCTTATACATGTCAGTGGACAATCTCCCCTCCTTCCTACAATTCCCAGAATTTCAGTTGTCATATGATAATGAGTAAAAGCATGCCATTTTTAATAGTACCTGTCTGCCTATCTACGGTAATGTAATTTGCAGTTTTATATATGCTGCTTTAAAATAACGACTGTTCAGCTGCAGCGTGTTATTTTATTGAAGCAAGAAATTATTTAGTGACTGGGAAGAGAGCTTTATGTTAGGCTATCGAAAAATTGAATGACTTTTCTTCGGTCCACTTTTAGCGTATCATTTTCTTCTCAGCGCGTGTAAGCAATGGCATCATGCAAGCAGTCCATGTCACATACAGTTTATCTTTTGAAGGCACCTGAAGTAAGCATAATAGACAATACCTAGTTTATTGAAGCATTCGAAGCATTGGAACTATCTAACCACGAGACGTTCTGCTAACCAGTGTCAAACACCTGAAATGAAAAATCTCACTCATTTTTGTTGCTCTAGATGTCATTCAGTTATTCCTGTCTAATTAGGCAGTGGAGAAAGACACAAAATGTAGATTTACTTCATTCCGACGTTCGCAACATGCATTTGGTCATGCCATCATCAAAAACATCGGCATATTTTAAACGGTCCACCGTGGTAAAGGATGACACTTGCATGGGCTACCGGTGTGAAGTAGCTTTCGTTCTTTTTTCACCACTTTTCCTTAGCGAGGCGCGTAGTATAGGAGCACACGGTGGCTGCGAGTGCTCATAGAAAACGACAACAATGACCATGGGTGCGCTCGCGGCACGAGGTTGGCAGCCGCTGGCGGCGGGGAGTTGTGGCTCTGCGGAGTAAAAATGTTGGCTAGTTTGTCTTAGTGTACTTTCTGACGGGTTACTGAGCCAGCCGCTGTCCGAAGCCCCACAGATGTGATTAGAGATTCCTTTGTCACCAAAGTTACGGCGTGGCTCTTTGGAGAGTGCACCAACAGTGAAGGCACGGACGGCTGCCCGGAAGTCGCTGTCTACGTTTGCATGCTTCTCGTCGAGGAGTTAATTGACTTTGGCCACCTGTTTTATATTCAGTTTTCATTTATTGATCTGGCCGATCAAAGCTATTTGCATGATATAAAGAGAGTGACCGAAGTGATGAGGAAGAGCTGAAGTGACCCTTGAATATCAATCTAAATCTGTGACTGTGAAGTAGACGAAATCGCATGATAGGCGAATCGAAACGGATATATGGTGCGGATTGATGTTGAGATGTTGGCTTTCTAGGCATTTGGGTACATTGGGTATTTTCCAACAGTTGCGAATTTTAAGTGACGCCCCACTAGATTATTTACCACTAGTAGAAAAAGCACTTGATGGAATCATTTCTCGCGACCTGTTGTAGTTCTTGAAACTCGAACAAGCCTCCAAGTTATCCATGGTATTGGTTTATTTGCCCATGACTGCGTGTTATAAGTTACTGGTGTTGCTGGTCAATGAGTTTATAGCTTGATACACTGCCATCATTGACCTGCCTGCTCGACCATGCGCAAGTCTCGATTCATGCGCAAGTAAAAGCCAACAAAAAAACAAGGAAAAAAGTAAACCTGACAATTCAACCATTGAGCCAACAGATCTGCTTTCATATATTTAATCAGCAATCTTTACACAGCGCATCATACGCGCTGCCTTTTTTTTTTTCAGGAATAGACAGAATGGTAAAAACGATACAGTTTGATGCTTGTCAAACTGCACTAGGGGCACTGCAAGAAGAAAAACACAATTCGAAGTGTTACTACAAGTAGTATGACTTTCGACATAAGCTGCTGCATGATTCCAAAAGGGGTTGCTCCGTTCCTGGCTCTGTAGGAGAAAGCTTGATTTCGGCAACTACAAAAGCATCATGGCGTGAAGCTAAAACTATTCAACTGGTGCTTTTTCTCTAAAGATACTGTCGGAAACAATAAGTGCTTCACTAGTCATGCAAGGAACTTCCTCATCAAGCGGCAAGAAATCGAAAATAGCTGCTCTGAAGCAAGCAGTTTATTACCCCCCTTAAAGCCAAATCTGTATTTTACATCAAAACGTTATTTGAGTCAAACGAATTTTGAAAATGTAGGAAGAATTTGCACCCAGCGACTGCGCAAACAAATGATTCATAAAAAGTCAAAATATTTTCATAATATCAAAGAACATTAGTCAATTTCCGCCACTGTCCTGTACATCAAAAGCACGTGGTATGTATGATCGCTAGTGCATGATTATTAGGTGACCGCAGTGGGACTGGGCTAAAAAATTTGAACAGCATCATTTCTTAACGAATTCAGTGACTGGGGTTGTCAGCAGGAAATTTGCAAAATATGTATGCATATTTTTTGCTTCACCCAAACGTACAGCTGTATCTTCACGTTGCGGTTGCCTTGAAGAGCCAGCGACCGGAAGCAAAAGGAGGGAGAAATATTGCAGACCTCACTTGGTTCCCAAATCGGAGCGACACAAACGACGTGACTGTATCTGCAGACCAGGAATGGTCCGCAATGCCTGGGGGGACTGCATCACCAACAAAGAATGCATGAGCTGCAAATGTCATCCAAACAAAGACTTCAACTTGTGCGCTCGGGCTTGCCCAGTCAAGTGCAATGAGCCAATACGCACATCGTGCACTAAAGAGTGCGTGCTCGGGTGTGACTGCCCTCCTGGTTTCGTACGGTGAGTTGTAGTGCTTTGCCGTGGTGATGTGATCATCTGGGTATTTCTAAAGTTTCTTGTGCTAGAAAAGTGCAGCCGTACGTTTCGGTACATGTGCAATACAGCTCAGTCTATTACGTACAGTACGTTTGATTCTTAAAGTAAAGATAGCTCAGCATAGGCGTGCTTCGTGGAGCGTCATTGTATCTGGCATTCTCGTGCATAGAACCAAAACAGCGCAGGCTTAGGGGAGCGCACCACGTCTGCTGCACTATAGCCAAGAAGAGCGGCGCCATGACCATAGTGGCTGCTACGCATCAACATGCTCCAAGGCTAGAACAAAAGATGTCTTCTGAAGTGCTCTTCTGCACATGCGCCCCTGTGCCTTGATGCACGGCTGGGCCCGATGCCCTGGCGCTCCACGGAGCGTGGCCACACATAACTAAGTTCTCCCTAAGTGTGAAGTGGAGCTTCTAATTATACGTCTACATCAGTGTTCATGAGGTACTCACGAATATTCGAGTTTTAATCGAAAAATTTAATTATACTTTGTTTAGATGGGCTGGCTGAAGCTAATAACTTTTTTAAACCTTTAAGCATTATCTTTGTTTTAAAGTGAGCGCATGTTTACGCTAATGAATAATATGTCATGTGCACACTTAAAAAAAACGCACGAAAAAACTGTAAAGTCCTTCATAACTTCGCTTTCAAAATGAACACATGGACTTCTTGGGTAGTTCGCTCATGCATTAATCAAACACCATAAAATTTTCTAACCAGCGCCCACGGAGCTTCCGAAGATTGGCTCCACATGTAAAAATTTCTACGCGGGAAGTAGTGACCGCTGACGCACCGCACTACTCCGACAATAATTGTGATTGTTCCGGCGCGCAGATAAACGCTGTTGTGAACGGGTGCCCAAAGTTTTTTGCGCCCAGAACCTAGATGAAGATTAGGCACATTACAAATATAGAATTATCGCTGAAGTGGGAGTGCTAGTTTTTTTGGTTGCAGTCACTCATCATTTTAGTGCTCGAGGACACGAGCAGGTTTAATTTCTTTCATCTCTTCTTATATTTCACTGCAATATTAGTATTCAAGTTTAATTTCATATTCAAAACTTTTCAGCACTATTTAGCAGTAATCTATTCGAATCGAATTGTAGATAAAATTTCCCTATTTGCACAGCTTTATCATTAGTTCACTTTTCCGAAACTACCTCATTTTTGCCTTACTGTTGAATTTGTTTGTTTAGGCAATAAAAGCGGGTTTGTAGGTGGCTAGAGAAAATTATCGCCTACTCTTCTTACTCTTATTAGAAAAAAGTAGCATTTTTTTTCGTTCGTTAGAATATATAAAGTATACTTAGAATACGGTACTCACAATATTATTATATAATATGGACATATTTATAGTTTTTTAAAATTTGCTCTTTTTAACAAAGTACCAAAATCATCTTGCAACTGGCTTTTCTTCTGTGGTATGATTTACAAAGAAAATTCAAACTAACGTAATGAGTTGCAAGCAAATGTTCAAAAGAAGTAAGTTTTTACACTGGAAGTACTGTTAAATTGCACTAGGGCAAAATCAGCTCTTCTGTTAATACCTGCAAGTTCTTTTATAAACTACCAGCGCTGAAATCGTAGTGATGCTAGAAATAACAGGTCGAACAAAAGCTTTCGTTCACTGTACAACTTTTTACATCTATTCCAGCATCTTTGAAATCAGGTTTCCAGTATTGCTAGAAGTCTTCATTGTTTCGAAAACACAAGTAAGAGTACGTAGTGAAGAGTAATTATCTACGTCACACTAACTATACATTGAAAAATAACATGAAGATAAATAGAAGCTACGGTAGAAAGACAGCAGTCATCACTTGTCTATACTATACTACGCTGACAATAATTACAGACTTCGATGCTCTGGACATGAAAACAGAACTTTGGACACTACCCAACAAAATTTTCAAGAGATTAGCGAGCTTATGCTAGTAAATATAGTGAAAATGGCTCATAAGCGTGGTATTCTCCAACAGGAATAAACAAGAAGCATGCAGACAGGATGGTAGAACAATAACTTGTTTGAAGGAATAAAGAACCGATAACAGATTGCAATAAGTCGGTATGGTACTATAGCAATCTATCGCGTTTATTCCTGTGCAGCTTGGGACACATCAGTAGAAAACGACTGATATTCACCTTTCTTGTCAACAGGGACCCCAAGAGGAAGAACCGTTGCGTGAAGGCAACGCAGTGCACTCTCAGATGCCCCAATCATTCCAAGTTCCAGTTCTGCGTGTCTACATGTGCACCAAAATGCGGTCAACCTACGAGTGGAAATTGTGCTACACGTTGCCAAAGAGGCGGCTGCGTTTGTGATCCAGGTTACGCCGAGGTCGAGCACAACGGCGACACTATCTGCGTGCCACTGGGAGACTGCTCCCGGTACATTGCTGTAAGGGTACCACCGCTCCCTGCAGGCAGACCAGGACATTTAGGTGGTGGATTCAGCTCTGTTGGGGTGACAGGCGGCACTACTGGAAGAATAGGAAGCACCACGACAGGCACCAGTACAGGAGGACTCAATACGCTTAAACACGGATTGACTACTGGAAGCTGGTCTTCACCTACAATAACAGGGAATACTGTTAACAGTGTCATTCGGCCCTCAACAGCTTTACAAGCAGGTGGTGGTATGGATGGCAGTATTGTGGGAGGCGGCCGTAATCTCAACGCTGGTGCAAGTACCGGTGGATCTACGGCTGGCTCAAGTGTGACTACAGGTAGAAGAGCAGGCAGCATTGCAGGGCCAATAGCTGGCGCACTTTTAGGAGGCTTAGCAACAGCTGGGGTTGGTGCACTAGCCGCAGGACTGACAGGCATAGGCCGCACTGGTCACCGCGTACGTAGACCTTGTGTAGGCTTACGCTGTAGGGTGTCTGCAGTATTACGTGGCCACCGAACTGGATGTGTCGGCTGTAACATGCGCAATTTGGGATAGAGGTGTGTCATGCAATAGCATCAACGGGTTTCTATAAACAGGAATTATGAATAAACCTCGCTGTAATGTCTGTACAAAAACTTGATCTTAACAGCATCTTCATAATATATCTTGTAATGGAAGTGCAGACAAATGATAAACAGATCTGTATCATGGGCTAGCATTTGCATCTTTACATCGTGCCCTGAGAGCTGCCGTCATTTTATTCTTTGAGTATTCTTTAGTATTCTTTTCAAAAAATAGTTTGAAGTTTGCCTAATAAACAAACTGATACAGCACGCTCTTATTTCTGTCCTTTTTATATTTTCTTCGTTACTGATTTATTGAGCTTCACAATCATGGTGGGTGACTGGGAGTACGAAACGCAATGGCTCTCTAGTAAGCACACAAGTTTTTCAGAATTTCTGTTTACCGAGGATTACGTTACGTAACCAAAGTCATCTAGCTAAACCATGAGCACGCAGAGAAGGAAACATTGAACAAAATGCGTAAGGCAGTTTCATTTATATTTATTCAATAAACGAAGGTAACATGTTCAAAATTTGGCGTACATGTATGAAGAAAAAGAATTTACAATTACTTTTTTATATTCATTTGGTTGAGTCGCTTTCTATTTTTTGATATTTCTTTTAAACTGACGTGCTGAAACGGATAGAAGGAATGGGTAACTGAGGCTTCATGAAGACCTGCACGAGCAGCAGTATTTCCCTGTGCAGAAAGAGGGAAAAGACTTTATTCATAGGATCCTGCATGGGGTAGGTGCCGACCTTGCAGGGCGCGGTCTACCCTTCTAACGTTCTAGTCTATGCAGTCCTAGAAACACTGGGCCAAGAACTCGAGGGTCGAACCTGACCCGACAGAGGATACTTGGGTTCCCGCGCCCCACGCTTGTGGGTCACGAGTTTCCATTCTCCTCTGTCTGGCCAGAGCCCCCTCGAGCCGATTGATCGCCCATTTCTGAGATTGGCAGTCCACCGACCGGATCCACTACCCCATCTGCACATTTGCATGCGTAAGAGAACGTTCACAGCCGTTAAAAAAGCTAGCCAGTGTAGTCTAAATCTCTACTCCTAAATAACCCACTAGCTAGAATAGTTAGGTCTGCGCTAATATCACGAAAGAATCTCATTTGGCTCTTTTCATTCTTGTCCTCATTTTATAACTGTTCGCAAGCTCGATACCTTGGTTGGGAAGTTAAGGGGGTAATAAAAATTAGGGGACCCTTAAGCTTCGTTTTTTTTTGTAAAATGTGATAGCGACATTCTGTTTGTAGTGCGTCCTTCAAACATTTAGCGCATGAAGAATTTTCATATTTGCTATGCACCCACTGTATGGTCTTAAGGGAATGGGCGCAGTAGCGTGTGTGCCTTTTGTATTGGGATACCGACTTTCAACCACGGAACCATTATGATAATCACATCTTCTGACGCCCGTTGGCTATGGACGCTGGTATTATGGATTATTACTGTAATATTTCATGTTCCACTGTGCAGCATGTATACGCGACGCGTGTGTTCGTGAAGCATGAAAGCTACTACATTTACTGCATTTCCAAGTATATTAAGTTCTTTTCACTGTTTTCACAAGCAGAGGCGTGACCATGTGGTAGAATATCTACTTGACATGCAAACGACGCGGGTTGGATTCCCTCTTTGAGCCCAACAACCCTGGTTCAGTCCCCACTACTCGTACATTTTTTCTCAATTTGTTATTTTATTTTTATCGTTTTTAATTTTTTGATCACGCATAAGATGGTGATTTCTCGCTCACAACCAACGTCATTTACGCCGACACCAACGCCAATGCCGACACCGACGCCGGAATTTCAAGAACAGACCCTTGGTGGAAGCTAATGCTCTTATGAACTGTGTTTACTACTGTGTTTTTTTTTTTACGAATCTACAAGCCACTGCACTTTATCAGAATAATTCAACATGAAAAACTTATGGAGTACACTCTTTCATATAGTATTGTACAGTACAGTATAGTATAGTAAATTAGAGTATAACAAGTGGTCGGCAAATGTATGTGGTTTTGAGCAGGAAGTAAGGGAGGATGGATAGGTAGAAAGGAAAACAAATAAGAGGAAGACTTAAAGAGCGATAAAGAGAAATGCAAAGATAGCAAGAGAGAGGAAGATATACAAACGCTCACAGACAACAAATACATTGAAGTAACACAATGATGAAATCAAACACAGAAAAAAATGAAGAAATAGTGATTGCGAAAACTACTCGAAAGAAGTTTGACCTTCGAACGTGGTGTAATAATCTGGCCCCGTTCTCACCATCTTGAATTATGCCGCAACGAAAGAAATGTTTGTGGACGTATCGTGTTGTTTTCAAAGTACTTTAGAACACCTACTGCAAAGATATCTGTGACGTGCCCACTACGGAATATTTCTGAATTTCGCAAAGTGGTAAAATTCTCTCTAAGTGACCACATGGTGGCACAGCTGTACACTTCGTAATGACCGGGCATATTAAACCACCCACTTGGTCCACTCATACTTTGACACCCGGTGTAAATCTGTAATTCCGTTGAGCTATATGGCATACCGTAAGTAGCATTAATTCATTATACGGCCTTCTTACAGCGTGTTATGACGACCGTGGCTTCGTATTAGAGCACTTACTCGCCACGCAGAATACCTGTGTCCGAGTGTCACTTGGGTCATCGAGTATTTTTTTAGCATCTATTTGAAATTTTTGCCAATGAACAGCGTCAACTGTCTATTCATGACGAAAGGCACCGCTGCCGGCACCAACACCGAAATATCTGTGAAACGGCCTCTTTAACACTCGTGGGGTAAACAAAAATGTAAAAAAAGCTACGGAGGCTGCTCAATTCAAAACTTCTATGCTTCGCAGCTTCAACACTAGTGTGAAGCTGCCTCATTTATTATTCATTCGGTTATCCATAAAATAACACTTTTTATGGAGCAAGACTAGAATATTGGTTAGCGAAAGTCATGAATTCTACTCCGTGCCGTTTCTTTAACAATAAAGAGCTATCTGAAAACGTGGGTGTCTTTGTGACATTTGTGCATAAACGATATCACTACTGTCCGTTCCTGTTCTTTAGACATGTGTTTGTTTAATAAGGGCTGCTTATTTCGATGTATCCATATCATCTGCACAAAACATACTCTCCAATGCTCTTTTCTTGGCTCGTCTGAGTCAGTCCTTCTACTTATTTTTTCCAGAAATTACGTTTTCTAGTATAGCGCTCAACAGATCGTGTAGTCATGTAAGAGTTTTGGTAAGTGGTTGTCAAGATAATAGCAGCTTACCGCTTCTACTGTTGATGATAACCATTTCGCTCGTGGCATGGTTCCGCTGACGTGAATGACAAGTTACACTAAAAATACTTTACTCTTCAACATGCACACCCGTGTGTACAACTTTGTACACACTTTTACGCTCATCACGTAACACTTCGCTCTATGAAATAATCACAAACAAGCGACCTTTCGTCCGGATGTTTTGCACAACATCGATTTACAAAGAACATGGGATCTGCCAAACTTTGTTTTACTAGCAAACGCTTTATTTTCCCTTGCATCATTTTCGAGACTTTACTATGCCTATACATAATGATACAAACTGATTTTGGAATATCTTCGTAGTCAAACACAACTTGATAAGTGACCCACTTTGATTTCTACAACAAATAGGCACGTACATCAAATTTAGAAAAAAAAACGTCTCAAATACACGTTGAATTTTTTTTTGTGATGCTTTGAAAAAGGATCAGCACAAGGGTTCTCAGAAAGAATGGCATTATAAATGGTTTTTCTGACAAGCGCGACAGGCAATTTACGATCTTTATGTTGAATGCCTCCGACTAATAAGGGCCATGTTTCAGTACAGTACATAATTCATTGATTGATTGATAAGTGAGGTGTAATGTCCCAAAACCACCATGTATTATGAGAGACGCCTTAGTGAAGGGATCCGAAAATTTCGACCACCTGGTGTTGTTTAGCGTGCACCCCAATCTGGGCCCGCGGGCCAACATAACCGGCCTACAGCCGGGATTTGATCCCGCGACCTAGAGGGTCATCAGCAGAGTACCTTAGCCACTAGACCACCGCGGCGGGGCGTACAATACATAAAAAATATGAAGAGAGTGTAACTCTTTTTCTTTAGTTAAAATAAATGACAAATTACATTTGATGTAGCTTGAAGACATTGCCAATAACCTATAAAGCACAGTTGGGTCCGTTTGATGATACAGTGCTGATATTTAAGGACACATCACCTCCTCAAGCTTTTGTTTTTGTATCTTTCTTCACCCGCGCCGTACAGGTCAAGCCGAGTGTTTCACAAGAACGACTGGGTCTCTCATTGTCCTTTTGTTCATTCCCTGCCAACAATATGATAGCCTGAATTAATCCAAATTGTAGACCATCCACACTCATTTCGTGTAGCTGAATTCACGCCAAGCATTCAGATTGTTTTAGACAATAAAAAGAGCCCTATTTATGACGCAAGCTATTGACAACTGTCGTAGCAATGAACAATAGCATTTAAGCTCCGTGTTGTTTGCACATGCAGCTCGAAGAATACTTGTCGGCAAATCTGAGAGGAGCATGGCGTTTCAACTGACGCGCAGGTTGCTTGAGGTAATCGCGACATGAAGGCTTCAGCGGTGCATATCTCGTCGGCCGTCAGCACACGCTTACAAAACACAAAACAGCTGGGCTGTCTCTTCTGAGACGTAATGAAATTAAATTTGAATAGAAAAAAGTGAACGATTTTGTTCTTATTATGTTCTTTTCTGAACAGCCTTTTAAAGAGTAAGTTAGTAATATTGCCACAGACACCCGTACCACACATTCGCTCTAAAATGTACAGCGAATATATAATAAATAATTCGTGAGTTTATTATTATTAGTCAATGCTCGTTCAAAGTGAGGCAGAAACTTGTGTGTTGAGAGTGCTTGTTAACACTTATTTTCCAAATTAATGCAGCGACATCTCGAAAAAACAAGTGTTTCAGGCATGAAATGGTATCAATAGGTGAATGAAGGAGGAAATAGCCCTAGTACAAAAATACTAATATATGCTGGAGACAGAGCGTTATATCAGCTACCAACGCGCTGAACTCATGTTTTGTTGTTACAAGCCACGATGAACTTCACAGAAGGATTTCTGTTCAGTGAAGAGCTGTATAGATTTTTTTATTTCATTTTTCATTTTCGTTTACCTCTTAAGGATTGAAATTGAATCGTTCGTGTACGAGTTTGATGCCTTCAGTACTATAAAATCACCGATCTCTTGCACCACTTTGAAAATTCAACGTTGGGCCTTTGAAAAAGTATATGTGAGCTAGCTCACAGCAAAGAATATACCAAAATTTTGAGTAATATTTTTTAACAATAGTTCCATTACGAAAGGGCAAAAAATTTAGTGCAGTGGTTTTGATTTTTTCCTAATAAAACTGATCAGCTCAAATGTTCTTCGACAACTAGTGTACCACATTAGCTGTTTTCATTCTCGAAGATTTGTCTACACTATCTCAATTCTTTAAAAAATTACCATTTTTCATTTACTGCATTTTTTAACTGCCACAAGCAACTTCACTTGAATTTGTGACGCAATTTTATTAATGTACAATATGATAAACTGACAGCACATGCCTAAACAATAGTCCTTGCCTGTACTGTTCAGCTATAGCTCAGGTAAAAGGTAAAGCATAAATAGTAAATATTCCCATTGTCAGTCAACATGAGCTGACCGATTGTCATACACGTCAAAGCACTTTACTTGCTTTCTCTAGGCAAATGTGAGTTCTCTTGTACAAACACTGAGAAAACGTCGTTTCTTCAAGGCTGCGAGTGATAGATCTACGTCTTGGAAACAATGAGCAATCTCATTTGGGGGCATGGTCTTAGTGTTGACCGCTTCAAATTTTTTGCACTAATCTAGAGGGCCTGCCTAATTTCGTCCAACCATAACATTATTGTACGCGCGATGTTTGCCAAAGAGCTTTTAACAGCATTCATCTGCATTTTGCTCTGCCACAACCCCCAATTAAGTGAGTACTACGTTTAGGTTCTTCGCAAAATTACTTGATTCGAATTGTCTCGCGTCCTGTTTGCAAATTTTTACCTTAAATAGTAACGAGTTGATACGTGGTGTCCGCCTTGGTGGTTAAGTGGCTCCGGCCCCCGGCTGCTGACGCGAAGGTCGAGAGTTCGAAACAGGCCTTGGTGGTCACATGCCGATGGAGGTGAACTTTACAGTTTTAAAAGGGTCTCTTAAGATAGTTACATGTTAAATTAAAGGCAGGACGCCTCATTAGAAGGAGGTTATCCAATTTGCAACGATACACTGCGGAAGGTACTTCTTCCTTTGGTGAATAGTAAAATAGGCGGTACACTACTAAAGTAGGATGATGAAATCCCTGTGCTGTGGTACAATAAAAAGGAATTATTAGACAGCTTCCGTAATTAGCAAAAATATCTGAGTTAGGAAACCAACAAAGATTCTAAACGAAAAACCTGAGGCACTCAGAAGCAATGACGCTGGCTTACGTTTACCTAATTTTGAATAATGATGAAAATCTATTACCAACGTCACATAATACTGATGCTATCGGCTATGTTTACTTTGTGAGGTGCAAAATCGAGAAACAGTTGGTACAATTGCTGAATTTTGATATAAGTGCTGTTTTTTTCTATATGTTTATTATTTCTCTTGGCGGTGCTGCATGGAGTGGCTGACTTCAAGCCATGGCACATATTTTCCAAGCTTGTTCTTAGAACACGGAGTGAAGTGTCACCTCCTTTCCCTCCTTTTTATCTTCTCAAATGTACGTTAAAACTGCTGAAGTGAAAATTTTTTACCACTAAACTGATTTTGTTACGTCGAAAACACCGGAGATGCAGCTTGTTTGCTAATTATTCTAATAGAATGTTCAGACTTTTACTGGTGAAGCATGCTATAAACAAACTGTATTTTCTCCATTTACATGCGCAGCTCACTCAAAGAAATGTGGATGCCTGGAAAAACCACCGAAGTACAAGACTTGCTTAGATCATTTCTGTAGGCCCCACCTTACGCCACACGCAATTTTGCAAAAACATTACGACTGCGTCTGCAGGCTGGGTGCATATCGAAATCCCTGGGGTCAGTGCATAACGCTGGACGAATGCAAGAGCTGCGGCACGTTCCGGACTAAGAGTTTCAACCTGTGTGCGTCCGAATGTCCGATGCAGTGCGATCAGCCCATACCAAACTGTTCCAGCAGGTGTGTCGCCCGCTGCGACTGCGCTCCAGGATACGTTCTGTAAGTTCCTACAGATCTTAATATCCACACGTGCATAACGTAGTTCTGCGGGTGTTTGCGATCATTGCCGCCAGTTGTCCATTTCCACATCATATTCGCCCCTACTTTCGACTATATAAATACGAACCAAGATATATGCAAATGCAGTGACAGTATCGTTCACGTACTGCTGTTTCATCTATTGTGCGAAGTCTTCTCTATTATTCTTTTTCGGAGAAACAGTTATCCAGGTATATCTAATCTATTCTCACGCCTCATTCTCATGAAATACGACTTGCTTTATGCCCAATGAAACATTACATTGCTTATTCAATCTTAACCTTTATTTCATATTCTCACTGAACGTACACAATGAAACTTAGAAGTGTGGCAGCTTGGGCTAGTTGGTATGGCATGACGATATAGTTATAGCGCGAGAACAAAACGACGACACAGAGACGAGAAGTCTTTCCTGTCCTTCTTGTCTCTGTGTCGTCGTTTTGTTCTCGCGCTATAAGTGGTCAGGTACACAATATGATTTGCTTTATTAATTTCAATGCTGATGTGACGGCACTTTTCCATATCTGCCTGTTGCGATTCAGAAAATGCACACATTTTCGCACATCGTACTCCCACCTTCCTTGGAAGACTGAACCTGTAGCGCCAAACAATTAAACAGTCTGAGAGTCACAATCCACTCGAAATAACTTCCGGTTCTTATTGTCAATGAGAGTCCAGGTAACATTATGCGCTGCCCTCGAAAACAAGAAGTGACCTTCGCTCTGGTATTGAACATTGTGTTATGCTTTAAATGTATATGGGTATTTGATTCATGCAAGCGTCCCTAACTTTTTCCTTCTTTTTGAAGGAAGTTGCACAGAATCAAGATTATTAGGCGCTGGCTTCTCAATCATGTCTGAGTTGATGCTTATCGGGAAACAGATGAAGTAAATGACCCATGTTAGTTAAATACGTCATTTATGTAAAATGTGACGTCAGCGTATGGCAAATGAACGCCAGGGAGTGTAATTGGGGTAAAGCAATTATCACACAGATAATTGCTACTCTACTGCTTCAACTTGAAATATTTAAGATACTTGTGCGCGAATATGAGCACCATGGCACACCTTCATGTTGTCGACGGTTTCTTTGACGTTACTCAGAAGTGTCTCACAACACACTGAGCCTATTTATTCAGCCTTATTACAAGTGCACATTCAAACGCCGAATTCGATTTCATGAAGTTGCCCCTGCAAGCCCTTGTAGCTTTCAGCACAAAGACAAAAACGCGTTTCGTCATGGGCACTGACTGGGAAGAGTTCTTTCTCTAGAGGTAATTTAAAATCCTTAACTCTCTTTTATGTCAATGAAATTTCTGCAAAAGCGTTGAATGCTCATTCGTGTATGTTTTACCTGTGAATATGCATGGAACGATAAGATCACATTTGATACTGACGTTTATTCATTGACTCCATTTTCGCAATTTCACATTGTAAAGGTTTGCACAATGTGATATTTTTGTGTATTTTCCTATCTAGGGACCGAGGTAACAAAAAAGAATGCGTCAAGGCCGACTGCTGCCCCCCTAGGTGTCCCGCCAACTCGAAGTTCAAGCTGTGCGTCTCCAGCTGCCGACCTATGTGCAACAGGCCACAGCCACGGATATGTTTTAACGATTGCTTGAGAGGTGGCTGCGTGTGCAACCACGGCTTCGCCGAGACCGTTGTAGGAGGCGTGAAAACCTGCGTGCCCCAGTTCACCTGTGGTCAAAGCCACCAATCTGTCGCCCAGAGACAAAGTCTTTGAAGCAATGCAATTTCTTCTATTCGAAAAAAAAAGCCGACGTGTTTAGAGCTTAAGCAAAATTACCAATAAAGCGATAGCGCACTAGTAGCGTCTGTCAGCGATAATTGAGAACAAAGGAATAGTGTTGGCTTCGAAGTCCTATAATGTGTCTTGAAACTGACGTACCGAAATAGTTCAAGTAAGCTTACAAGCCTATTGGTGTTTCCTTAGATCATTTTCGTAAAGCAATATTTAGCCAACAAACTTATAACATGCTCATCGTGTTGGACGTGCAAATAAGCAGCTGTACACGTCCGTCAAAAGGCGTTGACCAGAAAATATTCAAATGCCCACTCTCTCCGCTTACTCACTGAGCTACAACTTCTTGGAAAGTACAAAAATGCCAACTCAAGACACGAGTACCCTGGGCCGATTTCTTCGCTCCGCAGCACTTGAAAGAATGGAAAGGATTGGTATCGCGAGCATTGAAAATAAATTTTCACACATCGTTCATTAAAAAAAAAAACAGCTCCAGTCGTATTCCACAAAAAAGAAAGATCTTCCATACATCGAGGAGAACAGAATTAGTATAATTTTTGTTTGCGTGGAATTCAGCCACGTATGCTATTCTTTGCTTTTTGTATTATGTTGTTTTTGTACTTTGCATAGATATAGATGGCCTTGAATATTTGGCTAATGCGTCATTGCTGAACCTGTGGGGTCTGTAAATATCACAAAAACACACACACACACACAGATATTAAATATATATATATATTTATATATATATATATATATATATATATATATATATATATATATATATATATATATATATATATATATATATATATATATATATATATATATATATATATATATATATATATATATATATATATATATAAGAAATGAAGAGTATAACTTAAGGGCTCATTTTCTTGGTTTCACATAAAATTGAAAAGATTTAACAAACAATAATACTATAAATACTATAGGCGAAGGTAATAAACCAAACAGTTATGTATATTTGAAGATGGAAAAGTGGATGAAAAGATAAGTGGCCATGGGCAGGAACTGAGCCTGCTCAGGTGTTAGAACATCGAATGCGTTATTCGAAGGTTGCAGGTCTCGTTCCTGCCCATCATCGGTCATGATCGGTCCCAAGACCTACGGTTTGTTGGAATCACTAACAGTTCCAGAACTGCATTCTACAAAGAGTTTCGGAGGTAGACTAGAGAATGTCCCGTGCCCTGCCGCAGTGGTCCAGTGGTTAAGGTACTCGGCTGCTGACCACGGGTTCAAATCTCGGCTGTGGCGGCTGTATTTGCGATGGAGGCGGAAACGTTGTAGGCCCGTGTGCTCACATTTGTGTGCACGTTAAAGAACCTCAGGTAGTCGAAATTTCCGGAGCCCTCCACTAAGGCGTCTGTCATAATCATATGGTGGTTTTGGGACGTTAAACCCTACATATCAACCTCGTGGTCTGCATTTCTTCTTCCGGGAATTTCCCTCGCTCAAGCGATAAATGAACGTCTCTAACGTTTTATTCAAGCACAACAAACAAGGCCATATCTACGAACACCGAGCTCTTGCTTTGTTAACACAAAGCTGCATTGTCCATATAGTGGAGTTGACTTATGGAGGAGATAGTTAAATAGGTGTTAGGTGTGTTTTATATAGTATTGAGACAGCTCCCGTGTTCAGTTGGTGGCAAAGAGAGCAGATGCACAGTACCTACCAGACATTGTTGAGCAATACCTACTGCACAATATTTAACAGGTGCAACATATAAACGGGAGGGGGGGGGGGGGTCGAACGTTTTCAGGCCACCATCCCATGTATTCACAGATTCCTGAGGGAGCAAGGCCTAAGAACACATAACCCCCACCCCCAACCCCCTGTTAATTGGTATAGTCGATCTCTCGAGCTGCCGTGTGGCATTGTTTGACTTTTTACGCTAGTATGCATACTGAACTTCACTAATATTGCGATTCTCGCAATCTGCGTCTTCACAACGTACAAGTTACAAGTGCGACAGTAAGTACCATCTTGTGTAAGCGTGGCGTTGGAACATGCCGAAGAATATTTATTTCCCAGGTAAATATTTCTTTTCCTAATATTACCAAGAACATATCTGATGTGATAGGTGCCTCCGCCGTTTCACCAATGACAGAGCGCAGATATAGACTATCGTGCTCGCTTGTTGCCCCGAACGTGACGTGCTAGATCACACCCGTGTTGGCTGAATATTGATGGAAGCGAAATGCTAGATGCTCGTGTTCTGTATTACCACGCACGTTTCTTATTTTTACATTTGCGTCATTTGGCTTTTGCCCCCGAAGCCTGTCAAGAATCCTCAGAGCGAACTGTTCGAGAAGGTTCGCGATCATTGTAGATCGTTCTGTTAAGATGAAGCCCACTGCGTGAACGCAACAGATTGTTCTGGAACCAACTTTTTCACTAGTGATAACGCTAGAATCTTCAATGGCAAGTGTATAAATGCCAACTCCCTTCACCGCTATTAGTGCCAGTTAATGTTATCTGGCCTTCAGTTTTCTGGTTACAAGTTCAGCAGAATAAACAGTTTTATCTTACCATCGAGTCTGCTCCCTTCGTCTCCGTCAAAACCCCGTGACAGTGCGACGTCAGAGCACCCTAAGGAACACCAGATGGTCGAAATTGCTGAAACCTTCGGCTACGGCATCTCCTACATTCGTACCGTGGTTTTATGACGTTAACTCAGTATCATATTTGAGCGCAGATTTTCTACGAATGCATTATCGTGATGTGATCCAATTATATCGCTCATTTGCACTCCGCATCGGTAGATTAGTGTTCAGGGTGCTCTGCTGCTGACCCAAAGGTTGTGAGTTCCATTCAAGCTATGGCAGTTGCATTTCTATGAAGACGAAATGGCGGAAGTCTGTGTACTGCGGGATGTCAGTGCACGATGAAAAACACCAGGTGGTCGAAATTTTCAGAACCCTCCAGTAAGAGATCTCTCATAATAGTACCGTGGCTGTGGGACGTTAATCCCCTCGTATCACATAATATTATCCCTTGTTTACTCTAAACCCAATCAAACTCGTTAACCCAGTGAAATTTGTTCTACCATATGGTAACAGAAAGGTATGCGAGGCATGAAAAAAACATAATGAATTCATAGACAATAAAAGGTGTTCTATCGATAGACGTTTGTAACGTCAGAAGGCGAACAAAGCGAGGAGAACCATAGCGCAGTGCAGCGACTTGAACTAGACAAGTGAAATATGCGTAAGTTGCTGCCGCACAATGATACGCACAATAGGTCTTGCACAGAGGCACTGGTGAAACAACTTAGCTACGCCTGCACAGATGGCCCAGCAAACGCATGCAAGGGGCTGTATAGGATGGCTCCTCGCACTGTACCTAATCGTTTCTGTAAGCGGAATCACCCACCAAGGTAGTCAATTAGTTGTTGACGCTGACCCAAAGGTCCCGAGATTGAATCCCGGTGACACCGACTGCATTTCGGTGAAGGCAAAATGCCAGAAGTCCAAGTACATAGATTTAGACACACGTTACAAAAAAAAAAACCTCCAGGTTGTCGGATTTTTTTGGAAATGGGGTCTCTCGTAAGTGTATCATAGCGTTGGGACATAAAGTTTCAGCAATTATTGTCGTTATCTGCAGTAGAGGTTCATGAAAAAACATGTGATATTTGGGAGCGCTAATCAACTGAATTTTTTTGTTTGGCGGTATTCACCCTCACAAGGCCGCATGCGTGAATATGAAATGTTTTTAAAAGATTAGGACACAAACAAAATATGTTACCGTTACGAGGCTAACTAGAGAACAAGTTCCTCACTACCTTGTATCATATGAGGCTAATGATAGCAAGATTGAACTAAAACAGAAGAGTCTTCAAAATTCACTACAATAAAAATTTGAACGTCGTAGTTGTCATCAGACCTTGTTAACTGCCTAACCGTACGCACAAACGCTGCTTTATTGCTATGGTAAACTGAAACTTTTGATTGATAAACTCACAAAGCATGAAATGTTTTTAAGAACCATAGTTACCGCAAGCCAGCTCAAATTGGGAATTTTTAGGGGTGGGCAAACGCAGGTAAAACCACGTATAAAACAAAAAAGAGGAAGAAAGTGCGTTATTGAAGCAGATAGGGAAAAAAGAACAAGAAAAAGGAATAACAAAGAGAAAGAAACACAAAGAGAGAGGGAGAAGTAAATGAAGTTAAGGAGGAAAAAGAGACAAGAAAAAGCGGCAAAGAAAAAAAAAAGGCGAGAGAGTACAAAAGAAAGAAAACCAAAGAGAAAAACAGAAAGCTGCCCATAGCTCCGCACCACCCCTTTCAAGCTTAGGGAACTTGGTGCGAAACTCTCTTAATTTCTTAGAGTCAGAAATCTCCATCAGAAACACCTCCTTATGAAAAATAAGATAATCAGAAGCTAAACTACGGAGTGCCATTAGGGGAACATAAAGCTTTACTGAGCACCTAAATATAGTATACAGTATTGCTTTGTGTTTCGAAGTTTAAGTGTAGTAACCTAGCCTGAAAATAAAGCCTTCTACTGCTTGCTTAGCAAAATCGTTCTTGAAAGACTCACCTTCTGTCACGGACGGCTATTTTCGGCGACACCGCGTCACGGCAATTAACGGGCGCCGTACTCCCCGACTGACCGTGAGAAACGGCGGCACATGAAAGGGAACCGATAAGTGCAAAATGGGGGTGCTCTCCTTAGAACGTCGCCGCCGACAGTTAATCCTTTTGTAACCGTGGCGAGGTCTGCAAGGTCGTAGAAGGCCACGGTATACCCCGTACAAGGATTAGACTACAAGACGCCCGGCTGAGAGCTAAGTGGTTGACCGTTCCCACGGAGAAAAGCGTGGGAAACGCTCTGGTGGCCAAGCCGTATGACAACAACCCGACAGGTTGTCACTCTCGCTAGTTGCGGGCCCTCTCCCTATTAAAAAGGGGTGGGGTCAAAATATTTTTGGGGCGGAGTTTCCCCTCAATTAAGCGCGCATGATTGGACCCAGGTAGAGGTCTCTTGTCCCCAAGGAAGAGAGCGAGGAGACACGAGGGGGATTTAAGCGCAGGATTTTGCC